TCGACGTCGGCGACGAGGAGGACGGGCTGCGGCTCGCGAGCTGGGGGGCCTCGGTGCCCCCCCCGGCCTCCTCCCCGCAGCTCGACGAGCGGGAGGAGCTGCGGGCGATTTTGATGTCCGGGAACGTGGACGACCCCGTCATCGACAGCGTCGTCGCGATCGGGAAGTCGGCGAGGGAGCTCTACGAGATGCCGTACGCCGCGTTTGATGAGCTGCTGCGGAAGTCGGTGAAGACGGTGCTCTCGCGGCAGCGGGTGCGGGTGACGATCACGTCCTACCATCAACACGCCCGCCCCCCACCGGCCGCGCCCGCGCCCGCGCCGAATTCGAATTCGATTCCGACTCCGAATTCCACCCTCAGCTCGAATCTGAATCTGAACCCGAACCCTAATCTCGGTTCGAACCCCAATCTCAATCCCAATCCCAATTCCGTTTCCAACCCCAACCTTGGCTCGAACCCCAGTCTCAGCTCCAACCCGAACCCGAAGGACGCCCAGGAGTTGAAGCACTTCATGCAGAAGAACTCCATCACGACGGCGGGGTTTGAGGTCGAGGTGGATGGCGGCCCGATCCGACGGCCGCCGCCGACGCCGAACCCCGCGATCCCCCCTCCGCGGACGAGCCTGCAGCTCCCCCAGCCCCGCACGATGGCGATGCAGCGGCAGTTCAAAAGCGCCGAGGCCTCCCCCGCGAAGGACCCCAGCCTCGGCTCCCTTGAAGGGGATGGGGGCCGGCGGGAGGCGAAGCCCGGGCTCCCGCTTCCCACCCCGATGGTGCAGCCCCCCTCCCAGCTCGGCTTCCGCAGCCGTGGGGAGGAGGGGGAGGAGGAGCGGGGGCGAGGGCGCAGCCGACGAGGCGGGGGGCGTAGCATGAACCTCCCATTCTCCCGCGGCGGCCGCGGCCTCGGCCGGGGTTTCCGCGACGGCGAGGAGAACGTCGTCTGCAGGTACTTCTCGAAGCCGGATGGCTGTCAGTACGGGGAGAGCTGCCGATACCAGCACCTGAGCCACTAACCGACCGACCCCTCTACGCCACGCCATCCCTCTCTGGAGAAGTGGTGGGGGATGGGCGCTTTTTTTTGGGGGGGGGGGGGAGGGGGAGGGGAGAATGAGTCGTCTAGTCGTGAAACATACCCCGGTACCGCTGTCGGCGTTGGTGAAGGTAGTGGGGTCGTTCAATAGATCCCCGTGAGGGGCGTTTCCTTGCGGGGTGGGGTGGGAGGGAATGGGCCGGACGACATGTGCCTAACCAAGTTCGTAGCCGTTAAGTTCATGGTGTGGTTTAGAGGTGCACAACACTGGTGTCTTTTCTATCAAGCACTTGGTTCTTGAGGGATTTCTCATTGCAGACAAAGGGTATTGAGGAAAAGTATATTTTTATCAATTAGTGCGACACATTCCATCTCGTGTACTATTCTATTTAGTTTTTCATCTTGCTTCGTGTTAGGTTATTAGTGTGCTGGCTTAAAATGTTCTTTCTACGCATCTTTTTCATATATTTCGATTCTTTTTTTGTAGAAAAGCAGATGAAGGCGTAGGAAAAAAACATCTCAACAAACAGCTAATTTGGGAAATATTATAGCAGAAAAATGCAGTAAGATTTAATATAAATAATAAGAGAAAACATCTTTATATTTATATTTAATATTAACTAAGCAGCAGGTAATTCAAGTGATCTTTTAGATGATGTGGGTTCAGTGTTATCAATAGTGGTGTGTTAATAATTTAGAAGGGGCTTAATAAGGTGTCAACAATCTTAAAAATGAAAAGGAAGAGCTCTTTACTTCAATTTCTTTTTGCTTCACGCTTTCAGTTCGTGTGTATGAGAGTGAGGGAGTGGTGGTCGTGGTAGTGGGTATTTTACCATAATTGGTTTTTTTTTGCGTTTTAGCTTAATTGAGACCCTTTTTCTTCCCTTTTTTTATGTTACGTTATATATCATTCTTTCCTTTTTTTCTGCTGTTTAGTATGGCCACGCTACATCTGAATCGTATTTATTGTCGTATAGTATTCAATTGTAAAACTGTCTTATTCAATTTTTGAAATGAAGAAATAATAATAAAGTTAATATGCTTTCTTTTTTAAGAAAAGCATTTTAATGTGTATGTATTTGTATATATATATATATATATATACATCCATATACTTGCTAAAAGAAAACCGTTAAAACAGTGCGTTCCATTGAACGTCGCTGAGGATAGGTTTGCCGGATTACTGAAGGGCTGTGGAACTCATAATCGTTACGCTACAAACCCTTTTTTACTTGAACATGATATTGTACCTTTTTGCACACGTTGAGCGAACAAGCGCGGGTATTATTCAAATAATGAATGATTGGAATATTTCTTCTTTTCTGTTTTTGCCGTAGCTTGTTTCTCCCGCTTGAGTGTTCGTTTAATTGAGCATGAATAAGGTTCCGGAAAGCCCCACGTCGGCGGGACCGGCGGAAAATGTGATCCCCTGTGCCTCACCCACCTCCTCCGCTCCGGCATTTCCCTCGAAGGATTTGACGGTGCCCGCTCAAACCCCTGCCGGGGGCGAGTTAACGACCACCAATGCGAATACGAATGTTACTAATAATGCTAATGGGATGCTAACCTCCGGCTACGGTTCTTACGGGGGGGGCATGATGTCGCCATACGGCTTTGGTGTCGATCCGTACGGCTACGGAATGGGTGGAATGGGAATGGGGATGGGCATGGGAATGGGCATGGGGATGGGGATGTTTGGTATGACCCCTGAAGCGCAGCGAAGCCAAATGATGATGTTCATGATCAGCCGCATCGTGGAGCTATGGGGTATGTTTTCCCAGGTCGTCCAGATGGCCTTTGGAAGTGTCTTTCAGTTTGTGAGCAACTATGTAAACATCAATCAAAAGCTCACTCAGATTGAGCAAGATGAGATGCTGCAGAATGAACAATTCATCGTTAATGAACGCAAGAGGGTTCTGGAGCTGCAGAACCTACCTCAGGAACCGGTTCGGGTGAAGCATCGGACTTCCAAATTACGCAAGAAGCCAAGCTTCGTTCGAAGGCTTGTTGTGAAAATCTTATGGCATGCCACTTTGGCTCTTATCGCTTACTTCTTGTCGAAGCGCATCACGGCGTGGTATAATGCGCGCAAAACCAGAAGTATAATGCAATAAATTTCCTAGAGGCAGTTTAGGGGAGATTGAAAAGGAGTTAGACTAATCTAAAGGATATTTACTTAAAATGAGTGCGCTTTTTTCCTCAATGAGCAATTTTTTTGTGATTGTGCATCTCAACTATCATCAATCATGGAAGAAAGCCTCTTCCAAAAGTCAATTCTTCTTATTAAAAGGGAGTAAAATGTTCCTGTTGCAGGATCCCACTTTTTAAGAATTATTGATAACTTTCTTTTCTAAAAGGAGCGAAAGGGGGTGTTTCGTTGTCAAATTAATTCTTTGCTTTCTCTTCTCACTTCTCAATAAAGGGAAGCACGTTTTTGACGCTCGGGACCACAACTTTTAGAAACTACTCTGGTCAGATGAGTCAATCTGCTTACAAGCGTGCAGTGAATATCTTTCTTCCCATGATGGGCTTTGCAGCGGGTTGGGGTGTGTTTATGTATCTTGATCAGAATAATCTTCTTTCCTCAGGACTACAGTGCTGGCTCAAGACAAATCAATTGAAGATGCGACTGCATTTACAGTCTCTACTTCCCACAAATTTTGTGGAGAAGTACTGTTATTCAGAATCATTTCTGCGAGACGCTATTTCGCATCTAGAAAAGGAAGGTGCTCAGCAACCAACGCAAAATCGTGTGACCTTTGACGAAATTCTCAGCCAATGCGGCGTGAAGCAGCAGATCCTCTACTTGGAGGAGCACGCTATGGAAGATATTCCATACTTTTACATAGCGGATGTTTTCCATTCATGGGCGAATATTCACAAACGCGCCTTTTTGAACCACCCATCTCATTTGAATGATTCAGGGGATGTCAAGCAGCGCGAGCATTTCGCTTCCTTGCCAGCGCCCGGTGATGTTGCGGCCTTTGAATCCCAACGATTGTGTGAGGCCTTGCGGAGAAAGGTTGAGGATGGCGTCATCCCCTTCGACGTCGGTGTTCGGGCGCTCTGCGTGCTCGCTGTTCGCGGCAAACAGAATGCCCGGTGGATGCTCCGACAAGGCTTTCTGAGCGATCTCCTCCGGGGCTATGAAAGGTATCAACAGCGTCTAAACGACGGCGTGGCGAGTGATCCTGGTGAGGTGATTCCCCCTTACGAGGTGACGGCGGCGATGGTGGCGTTGATTAAGGCCCTCCACGACGCCAGCGGGCGTTTCCGCTGGTTTGTGATCCCCGGCGACGCCTATCCTTTAGCGCGGGGCGTCGACGTCGAGCAGTGGTGCCGGTTGTTCTTTCCCATAAACAATACGCAGACGCTCACGCACGCGAGCGAACCTGCCCTCGCTCTCGTCGGAGCGATGTGCGAGAAGCTGAAGTGCCCGGAAAGGATTCACGGAGGGGCCGTAGCGTCGGATTTTTAAATTGCCGTCTAGCGTGAGTGCAACTAATTCTCTTCCCTTCACACACACAGCAACCCAAACAAGAAACCTTTTTGCCCGCGATGGGCAGCACTCAAATGGGTATGATTGATGGGATTCGGGTAATACTATCCGTAATCTTTTTATGCGCTCATGTATTTGCTTTCGAATTGACTTACCTTGGATAACTTAATCCCTTTCTCTCTTTTCTCCCGCCCCTTTAGACTTGTAGACTTCGTTATAACTATTCCATTTAATAGTTTAGGATAGATATTATCGTTTCTTTTATATGTCTGCTGAGGCCGATTCGCAGACCCCTGAGGGCGTGGATAGGACTGCCGCGTTGCACGCTTCTGAAGAGGTCGAATCTCAACCTAGAGCTAATATTTTCGTGATTAGATACGGCCCGGCTGTCACAATTGCGGTATTTTTAATATGCTTCATCCTGTCGCTATTGGTATCAATTGAGAGGCAGATACGCTATTCCAGCGCTGCTTTCCAAAACCACACCGATGGAACCAAGTAAATACCGCGTTTCATGCAAGCGGACAGACCTGACTTTAGAACAATCATTACCAAATTTATCGGAAGCTATTGGTAATCTCACAAGATCGTCTGCGTTTAATTTAAGCGATTTAGGGTTCTTTAATGCTCAATTACATTCTGAATTTTTGCTTTTTTGTTGTTGCTTGCTGATACGCACGCATGCTGACATATACATAGCTGAGGAATCTAATTAGCTAAAAACATATCTCTGTATCGGGTTTCTCCTTCTACCATCGAAGGAACCATCTAAGACGTTAAGTTGAAGATTCAAACAACAAATAAAAACATATGCTAGAGCTAATCACTTTTGCGGTGTGCTGTGTGATTTATAGATCGTCTGGATTAGTTGTTCTTAATAGAGGGCTAAAATAAGCGGTGAATCTTATCGGCAAAAGTTATATATGTACTTTGCAGTCATCATGAACCATTTAGTTTGTATTCTTTTTATGTTCATTATTTTATTTCTTTCCAAAAGATATTATACGTCATAAGGGTTGATCTGCACCATCGGTTTTTTTTTTTAGGTAAATAAAGAGATAAATCTTAGAGCACAAAACCCTATTCGGAATATTAGTTAGTGATTTTTTAAAAACCACACACATTATTCTTCTTTTAATTATTGTATATTTATATATTTGTATATATAAATATATATTTATTTTTTGGTTGAGCCTTATAAGCATTAGCTGCTAATAGTTGTAATCTATGCTTGAAAATAAAGCTTCCGATCTTTATTCTCGTACGACTGAAGTCGAAATTCATGTCGGTGACGATATTCCACCCTATAATCAGGCTATCCCGCTTTTTACTCAAGTCCTTCGATTTGCAATTGTATTCGTTATTTCTGCTGTTGTTGTTTCAGTGGCCTTACTGTTCACGAATGAACGCATGCCGAACCCAAAGGTGGTACGGCCACTGCCGGATCTTCTCTTCGATATATTACCAAAGGTTGCATGGCTAGAGCCTGTTGTAGATATTCTTATCTTCATCTTGAATCTGACCGCTGTGTACGTTATATTGAAGATATACGTTCTAGCCTGTCGCGAAAAATCCTATGAAAAAATCAAATTATTTTCCAATATTAAGTTTGTCGGCAGTGCCGTGAATAATTTTTTGTTTTCTGTTGTAGATTCTGGGAGGCGCCCGTACCCACTAGAAGGAATCCATTTGATTGCGCTGATTCGTTTTCTAACTGTTTATGCGATTATGCTGCTGTATCGCTCGGTGGTGCTGGTTTTAACCGCGTACCCGGCGACCGATAATCAATGTCAGAATCCACAGACGATTGAAAATCCACTCCTCAACATCGTGCTGACCCTTCTGACATTCGGCAGCGCTTCGATCCACTGTGGGGATCTGATGTTTAGCGGCCACACGATTATCATCTGCCTGGCGTGGATTATAATTTGGGATTACAGCGTGTACGTCCATCGGTTTATCTTTCGATTGTACAGCACAGTGGTGATGTTCGTGGCTTTTTACGGCATCATTGCGTCTCGTTCGCACTACACCAACGATATCGTTGTCGCCGCGTACTCGACGGTGACGACTTTCATGCTGATCTCACACCAACCCCACGGCGCGCCCTGGCAGCTGCAGATGTTGATTCGATGGTGGCCTTTTCCGGGATCAAATACGGAGCGCTCGGTGGAGGTCTGAGCCAACCGGGATGGGCTTAACCACGCGGTCGTTTAGCGCAACGCGGAGGATGGAGCGGACAGATTTCTAGGATGGGTGGTGGCGCGCATTGTATTGGTGTCAGGCGAGAGAAGTAAAATGATGGGGAAACACGTTGCCCTTGTCTGGAATTGCTAATTCAATAAAATATATTATTTTTTTCAGAATCTTCGATGAACTCAGAACGCTATATTATTATTATTATCAATATGATTACTACTACTACCACTCCAACGGGTTAAATCCTCTTACTGTATATCTACTATTGGTTTACAAACAATATTATATAGGACGTGAACTCTATTTGAAAATAAACGTGCGGAAATAAAAATGTCGTTTTGAAATAAGAATACTGTTATGGTATTTTACAATATTTTTTTCCATAAAATTGTTGTTTGAAGGATAACATAAATATAATAGTTTTCTTGGATTTGGGTATTGAATTACTAAGTTCAGAGGGATTCTATGCGTTGTGTCTACTCATTTATAATTTTGTATGATCGTCTTTTTTTAAAAAATGCAAATTACGATATATTACTTGACGATTGGTGGGTGAAGAAACTGTATAGATTTCAAAAAGCTCTCCGTTTGCTTCATATACCCACTTTGAAAAAAAAAACTTCAGCCCTCTTGCGATAATACTGTCCCTTCCCGTAGACGAAACACACACAACATATACACCATAGGATATCCATATATATCCATGCATATATGAATATGTATATGTATCAATATCCATGCAAAAAAGGCACTGCTTCAACTTACTACATTATACCACCAATTCCTTCTTGGTATGGTGCGGTATTGAGCATATTTCATGAATGGATAGGAGATCCTCAGCGAAATTTTCCACTGAAATATCCTAGCATCGTGTGAGATTAATTTTCCCGTATGATCTTCATTGATTGAGCGACAAACTTTACGGTTCCACTTTTTTCCCTTCTTGAGCAGTGCGCTTGGAGTCGGCCCTTCACGCGTTTTCTTGTTAGGTTCGTTGTGTGTGCATCTTAGTCGCTTTCGATTTTTTTTTTTGAAAGATCTACGCCAAAGGGAACGAGACATTTTAGACATTCTTTAAACTTATGTCCTAGACGAGGGAAAAAGATGCTGGTTAACGAGGGAACGTCTCGTTTTTTGATCCCCCCTCTCTCTTCCCCCCCCCCCCCTCTCCTCTTACGTCACAC